CCTCTCGAAGCGACCTACTGAGCCTTCCGATACCAGTCCCTACTGCACCTACACTTGCACCAACTCGTCCTACTGTCCCACCTATTCCACAGACACAAAGGACATTCCCAATACCTGACGATTCAGATGCTGATGATGAATCCAGCTCTGATGAGTATCAGGATCATGGGGGGAGCAATGGTCCTCCAGATGCGCCTCCTGCTGCCCCTGTAGTGCCTAATATTGATCCAGATCCTCCTCAAGTCCGAGCCTCGTCTCCAACTCCATCCCCACCACCATCTCCACCTCCTAGACCGCCCTCGCCCATTGGCATTGGAGCCAGACTGCCCAGGCGCAATAGAACCAAGCCTAGAGAGTGGTGGAAGCTATCTCCAGCCCAACTACACTCTGATGTGGATGATGACATTGAGGACGCGGATCTTGGCCATGAGATTGTTCTCTCTGCAGCTTCACCAGCTGAACCCCTGTCCTACTCCGAAGCTCTGAAGCGCCCTGATGCGGAGCAGTGGAAACAAGCTGCCATGGAGGAGCTGAACGCCCACAGCATCAATGGCACTTGGCAGCTCGTCCCCAGACCTGCTGGAAAGAAGGTCATAGGCTGCAAGTGGGTGTTCAAGGTGAAGCGCAATGCAGACGGATCTGTGGAGCGCTACAAAGGCAGATTGGTGGCCAAAGGCTACAATCAAAGACCTGGCTTCGACTACCTCGAAATATTTGCGCCCACAGTCAGAATGTCCAGCATAAGAGTCGTCCTAGCCATGGCCGCCATTCACGACCTCCACCTGCGCTCTATAGACATATCTCATGCCTACCTCAATGGGGAGATGGACTGCGACGTCTACATGGAGCAGCCTGAGGGATTTGTTGAAGGAGATGCCAAAGAGATGGTTTGCTTGTTGAAGAAGAGCATATATGGCACCAAGCAAGGAGGCAACAGATGGAACCAGAAAATGCGCTCTGTGCTCGAGTCTTTGGGCTACACTCAGTCCTACTCGGACGCGTCCATCTACATCTATCTAAAGGACAATGTAAGGATCATTCTGCCAGTCTTCGTAGATGACATGACCTTTGCTTCGAAATCTGCTGCTGCCATCGACCGCACCATCAAGGAGCTCTCCCAGCACTTCAAGCTTCGCGATCTCGGTCCCACCACTCAGCTTCTGGGCATCAAGATAGACAGAGACTGGTCTAAACACTCCATCACCATATCTCAACAGCAGTACTGTCTAGACATCCTCGAGCGTTTTGGCATGGCTGATTGCAAGCCCATATCCACTCCCATGCAGCCCAACCTTCGACTCAGTCGCTCCCAGAGTCCCCAGACGCCTGAAGAGGTCCAGCTCATGAAGACCGTCCCATACCTGGCTGCAGTAGGCGCCCTGATGTACCTGGCAACAACAACTCGACCAGACATTGCCCACGCTGTTGGTTATCTTGCCAGATTCAACTCGAATCCAGGATTAGCTCACTGGCAAGCTGTCAAGCACCTGCTTCGCTATCTCAGAGGTACTGCCGACTACAAGATCACTTATGCGCCTGATCCATCAAGCACCGAACTGTTCTCAACCTATTCCGATGCTGATCATGGTGGATGCAAGGACACAGGGCGCTCCACTGGTGGATACTTGGTGAAGATTGGCTCTGGAGTCGTCTCGTGGTCTTCTAAGCTACAAAGCATTGTTGCGCTATCTACTACCGAAGCAGAGTACATCTCTGCAGTGTCAGCAGGCAAGGAGATCCGATGGATGCGAAACTTGCTGCAGGAGATGGGATTCTCCACCACTGCACCATCCATACTTAGAATAGACAACCAGAGCGCCATATCTGTTGCCAAACACCCAGAACACCACAGGAGGATGAAGCAACTGGATCTTAGTTGGTATTGGCTCAGAGACGTTGTTCACAAAGAGATAATTGCGCCTATCTTTGTGCCCACAGCTGATCAGCCAGCCGACATCTTGACAAAGTCTTTGAGTCGACCCAAGGTGGAACTATTTTGCATAATGATGGGACTACACAGATGAGGGGGGAGTTGTTAGAGATTAGAGATGTGTTCAGTCAGGGGGGAGTGTTAGTTGTGTGGTGACTTCACACCAGATAGGTCGAAGACTTCTAAGACTTCGAAGACTTGAAGGACACTTCAAGGACATTACTATATTAGTAGATAACTTCGAGGACTTCGAGGACTTCGAGGACACTTCGAGGACACATACCATACTAGGAATTGTTTATATTTGTTTACATAGACTCGCCCATAGTGCAGAGTTCACAAGTCTTACATGCTTCGTGCATTGACTTTGAACTCTCAGGTACAGTATTTTACTTATTTACACAATAATATCATGTGCATTGACTTTGAACTCTCAGTTCTTCTAACATATCTTGCTACAGATAGGCGAAGACAGCAAGTGCTACCCAAACCGCTTTGGATCCATCACGCTAAATGACGTGGAAAGCCGCTACTCCCAAGCGAAGCTAGAGCTATATGGACTTTTCCGCATGCTGCGTGCCGTGCGCGTGTTCATATTTGGCATCAAAAACCTAACGGTGGAAGTTGATGCGAAATATATTAAAGGTATGATCAATAATCTGGATTTGCAACCGAACACGACCATCAATTGATGGATTGCGGGCATTCTTTTATTTTCATTTAAACTTGTGCATGTTTCTGCGCAAAAGCACACAGGCATTGATGGGCTCTCAAGGAGACCACTGGCAGATGAGGATCCTGTAGAGGATGATGATCACGAGGATTGGATCGATCGCGCATACTCATTCACGATCACGCTTTTGAATGACCGCACATATCGTGTCATGGACAGCACGGCTGAAATATGCCATCATGCGCATACCACCTGCTTCATTTCACAAATGGCGCGCACGCCAGTTATGCGCGTGTATTTTGATGCAGTGAAGGATCTGGAGCCAGAACCCAAAATTCTGTGCTCAGATGCGGTGATAGCACAAGACGCGCAAATGACCATGATAGAACAGTTCCTTAGTTTGCGTGAGAAACCCACTGACATTCCGGACGACAAATTCGCTGCATTTGTCAACAACGCGGCACACTTCTTCGTCCTCGAAGGCAACCTATGGCACAGAGAATGGCACGGCAGACATCAACTGGTTTTGTTGCCCAATAAGCACTATCGTGTTCTCAAGAAAGTGCATAATGACTTAGGACATAAGGGCATCTTCACTGTTAGCATGCACTTATGGTTACACTTCTGGTGGCCGCATATCATGGAAGACATCAAATGGTACCCATGCACGTGCCATGAATGCCAAGTGCAACAGATGCGCAAGCTACACATCCCCCCAACCATGCCCATGCCAGGTGGATTATTTCGCAAAGCGCATATCAACATGATGAAGATGCCCAGAGTGGGTGGATTTGAATACCTCGTGCAAGCACAATGCGTGCTAACATCTTACCCAGAATGGTGCATGTTGCGCAAGGAGAACACTAATATGCTAACTGCATTCATTTTTGAAGAGCTTTTATGCAGATGGGGTCCCATCACTGAAATAGTGACGGACAATGCTCCTGTACAGAAATGCGGCAGACGAGCTCGCGCGCCAATATGGGATCCACCCGATCTGCATCTCGCCTTATAACTCCCAGGCAAACAGCATAATCGAAAGGTGACACCGCAATGTCCGGGAAGCCATCATTAAAAGCTGCGACAGAGACGACTCACATTGGTATCAGGTAGTCCATTCTGTATTTTGGGCCGAGCACGTCACCATTCATAAAGCGACAGGTTTATTGCCCTACTTTATGATGCATGGCATAGAGCCGATATTTCCCTTTGATCTCGCTGAAGCAACATTCCTCGTGCCCTTACCAAGCCGAGGTGCGTTTACCACTACTGATCTCATGGCATGGCACGCCCGCCAATTACAGAAGCACATAGAAGATATCAATGCAATCAGAGACAAAGTTGTTGCCATGTGTTACAAGTCCATACGAGATTTCGAGAAATGCTTCCGCGCGTCTATCAAATTGCATGACTTTGAACCCGGTGCTTTAGTTCTCATCCGCAATTCAAGGGTTGAGTACGAATTGAGCAAGAAAACAAAGCTGTGTTATCTGGGACCAATAATCATAGTGCGCCACACGAAGGGAGGCTCATATATGCTGGCCGAGTTGGATGGTGTGATCTCAAAGCTTTGATTCACCACATTTCGCATCATACCTTACTACCCGCACAGTGAAGGACGGGTATTGGTGACTCAAATGACCGGCATAGATGACAACAGTTTAGACCAACTAGAAGCAAGCGAAACCGTGAAGCCCGAAGATGATGAACCGGAAAGCACACAGCATGACTAGCACGCATCCATCATCTGCACCCCACACGTAGGCCGACCCCATCCAAGTACCCCCATCCTATCCGCAAAAACACAACAAAAACATCAAATAAAAGAAAAACACAAAAATATCTCACCATAGTATATACTCTCCGTTTTACCCCAGGTTTCGGCTGGTGACACCCAGTTTCCCCTCTCTCTTGCCGCATTTGTCTCATATAATGTGCATTGCCTGCACATATCTACAAACAGACTCTATAATACAAGAACACCCAAAACACTAATAAACTGCAAGTACATATTACTAACTACCTTAATTGTATAGCGCGCGCATAACCCCATCTTAGACCTTTGCATTCTAACATGTGCACCGCGCCCCTTTTTTTACTTAGAACACGCGCCTCATTTTCCATGTGCACGCACCGGCTCAGGATAGGAATAGAAGATAAGATAAGATGGGCGCACACCCTGCAAAAAGCATAGTAAAGTCCCTCACAACACCTTAATTCCCATTCACGCACTTTACATACTTACATACCTATAAAATTCGTTCACAGCCCAGTGGATCAGAAGAGGACATGGACATCAGACGCGATGTGGACAACATATATTGCAAAGGCGCATTGGTGCTTAGAGAGAAAACAAGGTACATCTAGTTAAGAGAGGCATTGATGTGTTGCTCGACCTCAGACCACTCCTGGGACATGGTGAAAAGCTTGTTGGAGACCAGGATAAGGTCCACCTGCTGGGTGCACCTCCAACAAAGAACCGTGCAGATGCGCATTCTCCACCTCCAAACACGCATTATTTGCGTGAGACTCCTCCAGCTGCGCAAACACATCAATCTCCTTACCCTTTTCCTTAGGCACAGATCCAGATGCCAGAGGTCCCGCAGCGCGCGCAGGTTTAGCACATTCAGGCATAGCGGCCGGGGTGCGAATCTCCAGGTCACTCACATTGTGCTCCCCAACAATCTCCACATCCATGTCAGATTCCTCAGACTCTAGTGCCTCCTCAACCGCTACGGAAGACGCTGTCTCCTTTGCAGATTCGCCAGCCGCAGAACACTTCAGCAAAGGTTTGCATGGACGTGCCTTGGGCGCATCAGAATTCTTGTGCTTCCCTAACCCAAACACGTCAGAGATGCGCGCCACTGACGGCAAGTGTTAACTCACCAGCAAACATACAAGTGCACTTAGCGGTAGTGCAAGGAGGACACCGCTCACCAGGCGCACCGCCATATTTGATGTTCCAGCTTTCGCAAGCTGCACACTTCTCTGCCTTGGGTACAGAAATGCACCCGCCACGATGCTAAAGCAAAGTTGCAAGTATCAGAGATGTTAGCACACAACTGAACAATAGATAGGCACACTGGCACACCCGCATCTCCTACAGACGCGTCAGTGGCATGCGCCTCGGCCTCAGATGTCTAACCTCCGGCATGTGCAGCGTGCTTGGGAGGCGCCCCTGGAGCAGCCTCTATTGCCTTCACCTTCCACGCTTATCACAAGCCCCTCAATGTCCCTATGAGCCTTCCGCCCCTGCTTCAACATCTCCATGTCCTTGTCTTCCATATCCAAATCAATTCCTAAATCATCCGTGTGCTAGGAGCAAGCAGCCATGTTCTCCTAAAAGAGGAAAGAATTAAGAGGCGCATCCCAGATGAAAAAGTAAGCACACTTACCATGATGGAGCGCCACTCGCACATCCACATTTCCTGGTCCTCAAGAAGTTCCAGCTTGAGATCAGGGGATGCCATCACACAGCCGTCCAGTGCAATCAAGGTCTCCTTCCAACCTCTGAGGTGATTGGTATCAGTTTTGGCCACCATTCACGACCTTCATCTGCGCTCTATAGACATATCTCATGCCTACCTCAATGGGGAGATGGACTGCGACGTCTACATGGAGCAGCCTGAGGGATTTGTTGAAGGAGATGCCAAAGAGATGGTTTGCTTGTTGAAGAAGAGCATATATGGCACCAAGCAAGGAGGCAACAGATGGAACCAGAAAATGCGCTCTGTGCTCGAGTCTTTGGGCTACACTCAGTCCTACTCAGACGCGTCCATCTACATCTATCTAAAGGACAATGTAAGGATCATTCTGCCAGTCTTCGTAGATGACATGACCTTTGCCTCGAAATCTGCTGCTGCCATCGACCGCACCATCAAGGAGCTCTCCCAGCACTTCAAGCTTCGCGATCTCGGTCCCACCACTCAGCTTCTGGGCAATAAGATAGACAGAGACTGGTCTAAACACTCCATCACCATATCTCAACAGCAGTACTGTCTAGACATCCTCGAGCGTTTTGGCATGGCTGATTGCAAGCCCATATCCACTCCCATGCAGCCCAACCTTCGACTCAGTCGCTCCCAGAGTCCCCAGACGCCTGAAGAGGTCCAGCTCATGAAGACCGTCCCATACCTGGCTGCAGTAGGCGCCCTGATGTACCTGGCAACAACAACTCGACCAGACATTGCCCACGCTGTTGGTTATCTTGCCAGATTCAACTCGAATCCAGGATTAGCTCACTGGCAAGCTGTCAAGCACCTGCTTCGCTATCTCAGAGGTACTGCCGACTACAAGATCACTTATGCGCCTGATCCATCAAGCACCAAACTGTTCTCAACCTATTCCGATGCTGATCATGGTGGATGCAAGGACACAGGGCGCTCCACTGGTGGATACTTGGTGAAGATTGGCTCTGGAGTCGTCTCGTGGTCTTCTAAGCTACAAAGCATTGTTGCGCTATCTACTACTGAAGCAGAGTACATCTCTGCAGTCTCAGCAGGCAAGGAGATCCGATGGATGCAAAACTTGCTGCAGGAGATGGGATTCTCCACCACTGCACCATCCATACTTAGAATAGACAACCAGAGCGCCATATCTGTTGCCAAACACCCAGAACACCACGGGAGGATGAAGCAACTGGATCTTAGTTGGTATTGGCTCAGAGACGTTGTTCACAAAGAGATAATTGCGCCTATCTTTGTGCCCACAGCTGATCAGCCAGCTGACATCTTGACAAAGTCTTTGAGTCGACCCAAGGTGGAACTATTTTGCAGGATGATGGGACTACACAGATGAGGGGGGAGTTGTTAGAGATTAGAGATGTGTTCAGTCAGGGGGGAGTGTTATTTGTGTGGTGACTTCACACTAGATAGGTCGAAGACTTCTAAGACTTCAAAGACTTGAAGGACACTTCAAGGACATTACTATATTAGTAGATAACTTCGAGGACTTCGAGGACACTTTGAGGACAGACCTCTAAGACACTTTGAGGACACATACCATACTAGGAATTGTTTATATTTGTTTACATAGACTCGCCCATAGTGCAGAGTTCACAAGTCTTACATGCTTCGTGCATTGACTTTGAACTCTGAGGTACAGTACTTTACTTATTTACACAATAATATCAAGTGCATTGACTTTGAACTCTCAGTTCTTCTAACATCTCATGTACCAGCCTCCAATGACTCTACCACTATCTCTCCATCTCGAACATGGGAAGACAATCTCCTTGACGAACTTGATGCTCCTACTCAGGCTCTGACTCTCACTTCCTTACCTGCCACCAGTTCGGCAATGGTCGACATCACCTTCAGCTACCATACTTCCATGTCTATCAACCAAGGTCACAATATGTCCTTGACTGCGCAGCTGTAACTAGGTGTTAGTCAGCTGTCACTGTATAACAATGAGCCACCTGCATCAGCAACTCACAGCACTTCTTCTCGTCAACCTCAGCCACCAGCTGCTGAGCCACCTTCTGTGCCTAATCCTGAAAAGGCCATACGGGTCACTTGTCATGGCAGTGCCAAAGCAGTTGCTCCTACAAAGGCTGGAAAGGGGAAGGGGAAGCACTAATAGTACAGTCAGGATTTTGGTATTTTCTGTTCTCTTTAAGATGTTAGATAAACTTAAAATAACAATGTTGACATTAGAATAAAATTATAAAACACACTGAGTCCTTACAAATCTACTGTTGTCTTGCAATATTATGTTGACCCTTACAAATACAGTGCTTACATGATCATGGTCTGTGAATCTTACAAGGCATCATAATGGAATGGTTCACTTTTAAGACTCCTTAAAAGGTTATCTCCATCTTAAAAGGTGATGTGTGAAAATTGTGCCTTATAATGTATTATGAGACCCTAAAATGGTCTCTAGAAATTTCCGACATTTGAACCAGAAACCTCCTTGTACTAGGAGTTAGAATCTGCTGTCAATAAGACTGGTCTATCTTTGACCTTTGACAGAAGAACTATCCCAGTCGTAACAGCACCCCATGAGTGTTAGCTCTAAGCCATACTGAGTGACGAGCAAGATGGTGAAGGGCAGGCATGGTGTTTCAAACTCCGAAAGCCTAACTTTGAATTGCAGTACCATGCTGGCTGTGTTTTTTTGACTTTCCTGACACTTTAACCAAGAGTAGCCGGGTGCCAAATTCTAACTTGAGTCCCACTAGTACTAAGAGGCTGTTCAGCAACCAGATGTTGACCAACATTTGACAAATGTTCACAGAGGTTCTCGGCTTCAAGCATCTCAGTTGTCGGAGCTCAAACCTTACATCTCATACCTGTACATCTACCATGAATTCTTATCTTATTGACTGCTATTGTCAGCAGAGACTCTGTACCTCTGTTGTTGCACTCACTGCTCCCTGTGCTAGCTTCACCACAGTCCTCATGGCTCAACCAGAAGTAACATTGGACAACGCAAAGGCACACTGGCAAGATGCAGAAGTGGATGTTCTACTTCATCACCTGATTCAGAATCAGGCAGTGGGTGGTGATGGTGGAAACTTCACAATGCCTACCTTCAACAGTGCAGCAACTGCTATCAATAACAATGATGCAATTCAGACAATAGGCCCACCGAAGACAGGCAAAATGGTCAAGACAAAATGGACATTGGTACGTGATCATTTCTTGAATGATTATAAGTTTACAAGCATGTTTTAGCTCAAAAAAATCTTCAATCAAATCGAGATCTATCACAATGTATCCAGTTTTCATTGGGATAATGTTCAGGGGGCTGGAATCAAGGACACTGCGGCTGCCAGTGTTTGGGATATGTATGTTGATCCCAAGGTATGTAATTATAATAATTTCTATAGCATTTGACTGACATCCAAAAGTCACAAGCTGCAATGTGCCCCTTTCGCAACAAAGGGTGGGCTCCATACAACAACATGCAGATGATCTTAGGCAATAATAGTAATGCTTACAGAAGGCACACTTTGCACCTGGCTACTGCACCCCCTCCATCTGTCAATACTGCAGATGATGTCCTTGATGTTATTGACGGAGGCCTTGACCTTCTTGACATGGATGTAGACACTCAGGCTGCTGGAGCCACCACCGCCAGTGATGTGCCAGACATGAACCCTGATTTGATGATACCACCTAGCAGGGAACCTCAAATACTACTCATGTTGCCAGCTCCCAGTCCAGTAAACACATGCACACTGACACTTTTGTCGACTCTTCATCTCAACGCACTGGTGCCCCTCCCGCATCCAGCAATCCTGTTCCACTTTCATCAACATTGGTATCATCACCGGTGAGTGTCAGCGCATGGTGGCATGCAGATGGGGATGAGTAGTGCTGCAAAAATTGCTGCGAAGATTACTCCTGCCGCTGCTGTCATGAATATGCAAGGTAGCATAAACCACCTCACAGATGTTATCAAGAAAACCATATCCACTCCACCTCTGCCTCCTCCACCAGTCACTGTTGCACCAATTGTACCAAATATCATCTCTCGTGGCCTGGAAGCTATGCACTGCAAAGATGGGGAATTTTTGTTGGTGAGTCAGAGAGCCAGCCCCCTGCACATATTTTCCCTTGCAGGAGGGGAAAACAAGCTTGCTATCTATGTTGGGCTTGAGGATGACTACAAGACATGCCGTGCATTTATCTTAGAGCTCTCGGACTCTCCACTGCTGCAGTAGTACTATCATATCATTTGTGTCACTACACTTGTTGCATTTTCATGTACTGTATTTCACACATCTGAGTCATTGAATCATATATGAATTGAAACAGATCAGATACAACTACGTGCTACTTGTAAGAATCAATTCAGGTCATCCTCATCATCTGATACATCATTGTCATTGTTACCAAGAACACGTTGTTCTTCTAAAATATGCTGATACTCAACCCACATCGCTTGTGCAATGAGATCATGTTTGATATGCAGATCATTGTGTGCTTCTTCTGCTGCCTGCTCCCAGTTTGTGGCATGCATATGAGCATCTGAGTCCAAATAGTCTGCTTTGGGTAGTGCACCTTCCAAGGGATCATGAAAACATATGAAGTTGTGAATGCAGCACAAGGTGGCTGGAATTTGAGCTTGTATGCTCATAGCATATGGTGGTGATAGAACGAGGATTCAGAAACATTGTTTGAGGACACCAAAAATTCACTCAATGATGTTTTCGAGCAGACAAATGATGGAGATTGAACAATTTTTCTTTCATAGTTGGCCTGTAAATAATCAGCAGATTGTAGAAAGAATAACAACAGTACACATACCTCAAACCTGTGTGGCCCCATTCTGCAAGGTGGTAGTGCACGTTACGATATGGAATGAGTAGTTCAGGCCGCAGAGGGAAACCTGCATCTGCAAGGAAGTATTTCCCTGCAGGAATATGAAGGTTGTGGCCTGCTGCAGCCTCGTAGACACATGCATCTGTGGCTGACCTTTCCCAGCCAGTGAGTGCATAAGTAAAGTTGAGCTTGAAGTCACAGGCAAACAGGCAGTTTTGTGAAACAAAACCCTTCTGATTGCGATAGGGACCTCATTCAAATGTGCGAGGTGAAGCGTGAATGTGGCTACCGTCAATAGCCCCAATGGTATCTTTGAAAAATGGCCAAAACTTAGGGTCAGAGCGAATTCTATCAGGAATGGAGTCATCTGGAAAGTGAACATAGTTTGTGTAGAAGGGGGAAGACGAGAATATGTTGAGCATCTTGCAAAAATAACTACATAGGAAATACAATGAGACATCAGCGGATCATAACTAGTATTAGTGCGTACTTACTGGGAAATTGTTTCATTGGAGCATTGAAATCGTTCACCAACATGCCTAACAGACAGTCCTGTGACAGACGTATAGAGAAAAATCGCGAGTTGTTCCTCTAGTGAAACAAACTTGGAGTTGGTATAGCTGAGGGTATGAAGCTCTGATATAAGCTCGGTAAAAGCATGCGCATGCATGCCAAGTTCACATCAGATCCATTCTGGGTGGCCAGTCAACAGTTCCATCACCCATGCTTTGCCAGAGAGAGCGGATGTGTGATATGGCTCTGGATCTTTGGCATACACTGACTCTAGTATATTGGCTGTAGCGCTGATTAAGATGCTGACTAGAAGGATTGAGTGTTGGATGAGGTGGCATTGAACTTCTGGATGTTGGGGCATGAAATGCTGGAGTCTCGAATGAGGATCCATTGGTGTAGGGATGCATAGAATACAACTCTAAGGACAGTGTATTATACCCTACAGCCCATATCAATGTGCTAGGGTTAGTCCGAATTCAGCCTATGATTCAAGTTCCGAACTTCGGCAAAATCCAAGCCGAGATGACATTTGCCAAATGTTGGTCAACATCTGGTTGCCGAACAGCCTCTAAGTTAGTAAGTGTTCAACTTTCGCACCACAACAAGTTTTGAACTTTTGCCATTCCGAAATTTCGGCTATAGTATGATGACTAATGTATGGTTTTATTTGTATTGTGGCTCTAAGACGAGAGGACTTCTCCCCACGGGTGGCTGCGTTCATCCAAATTTCTTGATTGGTTCAAGTCGAAATTTCAAGTCAAAATCTTTTATTTACCAACCCCATTTTGATTGAAATCTTGCTTGTATCAAAACTCCGATGTGTCAGGGTCTAGAAGTCGGGGACTGCAAGGCCAGAACCGAGAACATTGACGGTAAGACTTGGATCGTCAGCTGATAGTATATCAAATTATGCCTGCGTCACATCGACGTAACGGTGACCTGGTGTTGTTGGCAGAAGTCGGTAACCTCTGAGAAATTTCGAAGCAGACAATGCCAGGCCGACCGAGGTCACTTGGATCTCGAATGACCCGTCATCGTTGACGATCATAGCCTCGACCATCACGTCATGCTGTACCACCTACCTAGTCTTCACTTCCAGTTACTTTCACAATATGCAAGGCTTGCTCAGCGTCTAGGTATCAATATCGCCGCGAAATACGACGCTCTATCTGTCTGTGATGCTCAATTTTGCTTTTGTCAAGAACTCACACACCGTCTGTGCTTATGACATACAAGAATATCCGTGTACTGCCGCTAATCCCCCCATCTTCCACCTCCGTCAGCCCCTGTCCTGCTACATTTTCTAATCCAATTGAATCCAGACTACGGTGTTGAGTGGGGATCTTCTACTACTAGTAGTATTCGGAAATAATGGTACGCAAATCCAAAGCACCGAGTTGGTATTGTTGCGCTCAGTTGTCACCTTTGCACGTACCTCCTATTTCTATTACGTCTGCTTTTTACAGAAAACAGCCCTAGATGCCAATCACTATAAAAGCCCAACTTCTTCTTACCTCTCCTTTGTCAATTCCTCCCCTCATCGTCGAATCATCCTATTAGCGAACTATATCGTATACAATGACTTTCCCCAACGATGGAGTGTATGCTATCAGAAACGTTGGCAGAAACCTCATGCTCGATCTGACGAGCGACAGCACCAAAGAGGGCAACCAGATTCAAGGCTTCGCAAAAAATGGCACCGTAGCTCAACAGGTATTTATACGCGTTTGAACCCACCTTGTGACCGGTTCTAACACATCACGTCTGTCCATTAGTGGGTGATCAAGCACCAAAACGAGCCTGGGACCCCCAACAAGACAGTCAGCATTCAGTCCAATAACAGCGGCAACAATGGAAATGGATGCTTTGCTACTGCGAAGGAGGTATGCTGGATCTCCACTCATTCTTTCATTTCCTTGTTGGTTGACGCGGACGTGGGCAGGATTCGGACGAACCAGTCGTTTATACTAGGCAGGCGTTTGTTGTCGATCTTTCTGGACAAGCGGGCAATACCTTCACGTAAGAATACGTTGCAGTACGCAGCAACCTACTATTTTTGCTAATTTAACCACTCGCATTTACAGCATGAGCTTCACACGCGGGAAAAAGAACCTGGTGTTATCCATTCCAAGCCCAAAGAATAGTGCAGTGAGTCAGTGGTTTTTTTTTCAGAGCCCTTTGCTCATAACGTTTACAAGGTGAAACTTGAGCATCACGTGAAAGGAAATGATTGCCAGCATTGGGAATTCATCCGGGTTTCTGATCTCCAACCCATCGCCTAGTTGTCGCCACCAGGTACCATCTTGCAAAGGTGTCATTGAAAGCGTTCCCGCATATATCTGCTACGTATTGCCTTGTCTGCTTCTGTTGTGTATGAGTACGTTGATTTGAATAGCATTGCTTTAGTCTGGTCTTCTTACTAAGTTACAGAAATTGTGAATCATTCGAGGATATACAGATCTCGCAAATCCTGTTTCGAATAAAAATCACTGGGGTTGACGAAGACAAACAACAGTTAATTACTTCGAGGTGGCTTAGCTACTAGTCTGAGTCCACGCTCTTTTTAACTGCCTGACTGGCAGACTCTAGAGACGATGCTATCGAAAACGATATGATTGAATGGAAGACTCATCAGCCTTTGAATGGTGCATGAGATTATTATTCATCTTCCTCATTGTCAGAATATTAGTATTCTGCTTTTTTTTCACGACCCATTGGCCTTCAACTCATACAGACCACCACTTATTAGTTCCATTTGAACTCATGGAATAACAATCCACTGGCAAATCAGCACAACAACGTAGTCAAATGTCACTCCAAATCGACATCGCTACTCGATGAACTTGCGGTCGAAGCTTCGGAAGCATGAGGGAATGTAGCTTTGATGTTTTTGGAATGAGTAGCATATTGACAGCTCCGACTCGAGAGGATATGCATAGCATGTAGCAATGAAAATTTGACCCTCGGATAAACTGAGGAGTCTACACCCCTCCAACACCGCAAAACCGCCACGGGTAAGCGTGCTGTACGTACAGGTCTCAATAATCCACACTGTGGTACCCGTACCCGTGCTCTACCCTAGTTGCTTTAGGTCGAGCCTCCCGCAGAGGGTGTAACGCCGATAGATTATAAGGTCCTCGAGGTCGCGAATCGTGGGTATTTGCAAATCTTCTGTAGGAGAGAGTATGGGAGGATATGTAAGGGTGGTGTTAGTGGACTAATTGTTATGGTATGCCTGGACGTACGCGTGGTAGCGTTAAGCGATACGATAGACAGGTGTTTGAGCTTAGCTGTGGCAGCGAGTCTTCATCTGCTATATGACAGCCAGTACTAATCATGATATGAGATGATCCACACACCAGGGTAATCCTTGTATGTTCGATACGGGAGAAGAGAGGAGCATGCTGCTCGTTTGTTTGCTAGCTGTTTCGCAGAATGCAGATCAGGAGTAGCAACCAGGTATATGACAACCCTCCTGAATATATGAAAGCTCGGCAAAGACAAACACTTGAACTGAAGTGGCGCCGTCTTTTGCTCGTAGTCGGAGTCTCAAAAAGTCAAGCTAGGACGCGTCTGAACTTAAGTCTTGGCTTGGTGTTGTGGATCGGAAACCATGTCGTTGAAGGTACCCAAAGCCAACAACATCCAGCTATTTAAGGATGGGTACAAGGTATTTATTATACTCCCGATCTTTGCTTACAGTGTCCGATAACATTCTTCCAGCACCTCCAGGGCATCGAGGATGCCGTTCTTCGAAATATTCAAGCAGTTTCAGAGTTATCCGATCTTGTACGGACAAGCTTTGGTCCAAATGGTACGTATAGTGCACTTATAATATATCTATCCTGATTCTGTTAGGTCGCAATAAACTAATAATCAATCACCTTGGCCGACTTTTCGTAACATCTGATGCCGCTACCATCATCAGAGAGATCGAAGTCGTTCACCCAGCAGCTAAGCTCCTTGTCATGGCATCGCAAGCTCAAGAGTCTGAGGTATGTCCTTCTCAATCTCGTTTCTTATCTACTTGCTAACTTAAACACAGATGGGTGACTCCACCAATATGGTCATAATTCTCGCTGGAGAACTTCTTAGGAAGTCTGAAAACCTGCTTGTCATGGGGCTACACCCTAGTGAAGTAATTAAAGGTTACGAACTTGCATGCGCTAAAGCTCTCGCGGAACTTGAGAGTGAGTCCCTTTATCCCTTTCACATTTTCTTCTGACAGCAACACAGACCTACCAACGTCCAGCCTGCCTTCCCCTTTTACCCAGGAATCTCTTACTACAGCTCTCAAACCGGCCATAGCATCAAAACAGTACGGTTACGAGGACGCACTTTCATCTCTGGTCGCAGAAGCCGCACTCGCCGTCATGCCTAAAAATCCGAAGAATTTCAATGTGGACAACGTTCGCGTTGTCAAGATCATGGGCGGCAGCCTTTCGGGAAGCAAAGTCGTGCAAGGGATGGTATTTGGCCGCGAACCGGAAGGTAATTCTACCCAAATCCTCGGTACAGTGCTCATATTCACACCCCCTCCCAAGGTATCATCAAAAAAGTTTCAAGCGCGAAAGTAGCCGTTTTTACATGTGCTCTCGATATTGCACAAACTGAAACGAAAGGCACTGTCCTCCTCAAAAACGCAGACGAAATGCTCAATTTCACGCGGGGCGAGGAACAACAACTTGAAGGGGTATGATCTCCTTCATCCCATTACCTTCTACATCTACTGACCATTACTCGAACAGATCTTTAAAGAGATCGCCGATTCAGGCATCAAAGTCATCATTGCAGGCTCATCTATTGGTGACCTCGCGCTACACTACCTCAATCGTTTCAACATTGCCGTTCTTAAGGTCCTCTCCAAATTTGACCTCCGCCGTGTAGCTCGTGTTGTCAACGCCACACCTCTCGCCCGCGTCGGCGCACCCAGCCCAGAGGAAGCAGGCTATGTCGACATCTTCGAGACAACGGAGATCGGTGGAGACCGTGTCACCGTCCTCCGTCAGCTCGCTCCCGGCGAGGATGGGTACCAGGGACACACAGAGAAGACGCGCACAGCGACGATCGTGCTTAGAGGGGCGACGGCTAACCATCTCGACGATCTTGAGCGCGCGATCGATGATGGCGTTAATGTGATCAAATCCCTTATAAAAGATCCACGGCTAGTTCCTGGTGCAGGTGCGACAGAACTGGAGCTGGGCAAGCGTGTTGAGGCATACGGGAGCGGGATGAGGGGGCTAGCACAACATGCTGTGAAGCGGTATGCCACAGCACTCGAAGTCATACCGAGAACGCTCGCCGAGAACGCCCTGGGAGGCGCTGAGGGCAACGAGGTCCTCAGTCGGTTGTGGGCCAAGCACGAACAGCAAGGCGGCGAAGCCTGGGGTGTCGATATAGAGGTAAAGTTCACTAGTGCTGTACCATCACCCTTTGATTGATCGATCGATCATATTCCAGGCCGAACAAGATGGCACTCTGCTAGCTACCGACTACAAGATCCTAGACCCACTAGCCGCAAAACAGTGGGCCATCAAGCTCGCAACAGAAGCCGCCGTATCCGTACTCAGCGTCGACAGCATCATTATGAGCAAACCTGCAGGAGGACCCAAAGTCCCTCAACAAGCAAGTAATTGGGATGAAGATTAGGACACTGCTATAGCTACCGGAATGCCTAGACTGCTTTACAGCAATTTTACGCAGACCAAGAAAGTTTCGATTAATGGGAACAAAAAATGGATGAAGCCGAAAAGAACGTTAGGATGAGCAGCGAGAATATTGTGGGGAGTGATACTGTATAATGTCAATGATAGATATTCGCGAACGGTGACTCAGAACGGAATGTCAAAGGATGATAACAAGGAGTCCATCGTGGATGGTGGCGGGTTTAGTATGTAGGTGCCAGTGACCATATACATGAGCGTCTATGATTTATGACTCATTGCACACAGCTGGACTGTCATCTTCGTCGTCCTCCCTGAGATCAGGCCCCTCCATTTCATTCTCTTCTATGTGGTGGTCAGCTTCAAGCTCGTCGTCAAAGATGACATGGAACCGCGACTGCAGCAAGCATCGATGAGTACTATAGTGTCACACCATGTATACTTCTTGCACTTGAATCTCATCTAGCGTACAATCCAGCTAAGTTGTTGGGGAGGCTGGAGAACTCCACTGCTTGGAAAGTAGCAGCGCAGGAATTGGCAATGGGCGTACAGAAGAAGGGGAGTGATTGCGAGAGGAGACAATGCCACAAATGCGAAATAGAACTGTGGCATGAATTTTCAGCTTGGATTGCAAAAAGAACATACCGATCGTTTGCATTGGATGGAATTACTGATAACGCAGACATAAAAGTTGCATCGTACGAAGGAGGCGAGTTAGTAACGGACGTGGTATCATCAAAACTCTGGACGGTATCCCTCACGAGGGCGAGGCAAAAGAAAAGACACCCGTTAGCAGAACATAGCGGCCTGCCAAGCACGACACGCATGGTGTGAGCGATTGGTTGGGGAACAAGCAACGAAACGTGGTAAGGTGACACACGCGGAGAAAGCTCAGGCTGAGTGCTGTTTGAAGTATTTGAACGGACTCAATCAGAAGTAGTGGTTGCGTACATGGTCAACTGGTCTCGGAGATGCAGTGTAATCAAGAAGAAAAGGCGGTAGAGCCATGTTCTTTCATGAGGACGATTAGCTAGTCAATGTCGTCGAGTCCTTGTATTCTGCTTATCAGACTGATATAGTTGGACTAGCAGACCCCACAGTTGGCGTAAATTTTGATCGAAGGCGGACGTAGGTGATTAAGTTTGCGAGTAATGGCATGTACACAAGAATAACGTCAATGAATTATGATCGAGAGATATTTTGATATTGCAGACTTGAGCTTTCGTACTCTATCAAAAATAGCCGACTGCGGTCATTCATCATAAACCTTCACCAGACTCATCAGTAAATAATGACAAAAAACGGTGAAAAAACACACATTAAAAGCTCGTTGACATAATCCCTCACTAGTCCGACGCTCTCCGCGTCCATCGTGGAACTGGCGACCATCTGTGGTAAACTCACTAAGCCGAGTAATTCATCAGTTGACGCTAAGTACTTTATGCGGATGAGATCGCACCAAGCATCCTAAGCAAGTGTTCTGCTCCATATATGGCGCTCATGTCTTTCTCCTGGCCAACCTGCACCTTGGGACCCGTGACATACTGTTTGCGGATCTCGGCATACTGTGGACGCTCAAAACGGTAGAGAAGGTTTGCGCCGAGCGATCGATCAAAGTAGACTTGGAGCCCTGAAATTATTGTTGGCAGGACGAGTTCAGGCTCGCGAAGGCTGGAAGGCGCTCGAGTTAGCAGAATACTGAAGATTCCCGATAGAGGAGCTGACGTTGTATTTTTTCCAAGTCCTATCACATAATCTTTGAACTCCTTGAGGATCTCAACGACTGTTGGCCTTCGTGGTACGGATACTAGCTTTCGGGTTATCAATATCCAACTAATGCGCAAAACCAACGCAATCCTACCTGGCTGTTCTTTGTGATCGCCTCCCAATCGTCCACAAGCAGTACTTTCAGCACCTCTGGGACATTGAGTTTCATTTCTGGCTTCTTGCTGCTATCGTCCTTTTAGAGAATGACATCAGCACCATCACAGAGAATACACCATGAGAATTGTCTAAAAAACGAACGCACCTCCTCTCTCCCTCTCTTTGTTCCTCTACCATCCTTACGCCCAAGCCCGCCACCGCGTGAGGAGCTACCGTCCTTCATCAAACCCCCGCCATGGGCCTTCCCTTTTGTGGACGACCCCGAGGTAGATGCAGCTGCGCTGGCCTGTGCCATCAGTGCTTTCTGCAACTGCACATTCGTGTCATTGAACTTGAGCAGCCGTGTGATAGGCACCCATTCATCCCACCTAGCCAGCGGTGAGCAAAGAATGAGTCAAACACAAATATAACGGGCAACACACGTCTGCTTCCATCCCTTATAGTGCACGAAGAAATGGGGGCCTACTGTGGGGAGTTTGGTGTTGGTTTCGTCCCATGTCTCTGATTTTAGTATTTTAGCCTCGTAGACGAGGGGCCCATGATAGCATAAGATGCGCTCGCCGACTGCAAAAGATAAAGACATTCGCTGCGCAGGACTTTCGTACGTTCAGGGTTTGTTGGTTTGAAAGGTCAGGTGTTTATGTAAGATGTTCCTGGATGCCTACCCAGGCCCCAGAATTTGCATCACTAAGCAGAAAATGGTCACCAGTCAAGGTATTCAAGCTTGACCCAACAGCATGGCATAGCAGCAACAAGTAAAGAAACACCCATAAAAACCAAATAACGTAAGAAATAGAGAGGACCTTCAACAAAACCCTCAATCATGCAACTCCGCACTGCAAAAGCATTGTAGCCTTGAGCAGTGCTTCCTATTTTGGAGATAAACACGCGCAACATCAACATGGAAGATTCTGTTAGGAAATTGTTCAACACAGGACATCCTGATCACGACATTGAAACGAACCTAAGCTCGCTGAACAGTCGCTGCCGGCCACTTAGAAAAAACCTGGCTAGTATCAGGCCAGCGTCATAATAAGTGCCTCACAAACGAGGACAACGTAATAGCGGCTGCATGTGATCGAAGGGTCTCGTCATGCTAATTCTTGAGTGCCGCCACGTGTTCTGCTGGAAGGTCTGATCAACAAACAAAATGAACATGTTGATTGACCACTCGGGTTTCATAAAGTAAAAATGTACTCACGGCTATGATAGACCCTCCCCCCATCTTTGTTTCCCGTCATCTTCGCGCATTACATGCTTCACAGAATCTCTTCGTCGTCCGCCTCGAGGGTATGGTCCAATCGTAAACCTCATCATACTCTATATTCATTGTTTTTGCCAGCCCTTTGAACAAATTTCGGAGTCCCATGTAGTCTGGGAGGTCTTCAAACTCGAGACCTCTTGCATAGTTGAAAAAAATTTCGAACTCCACAGGAAGACCCACGGTGAGAACAGATACAGCCTCCAGCTTCTTGTCTCGTATAGCATCCCACGTCTCAGCGACTGTAGCGCCTTTAATTTTCCGCCAGGGTAACGTGCCTCGCAGAAAGTAAACCAGCATGTAAGCAAGAGATTCTAAATCATCACGCCTAGAGCACTCTTTACCAAACCATTAGGTCAATTATGGCCAATTTGACAGCCGACTACAACTTACCTATACCGCAATGTGCATTGATAGATGCAAAGAGAGATGTACCCACGCCATGATGGTTGTCCTGTCGATATGGGATATGGGCGCTTGTCTTCGGGTCACGAAATTTTTTGGCGAGCCCAAAATCGATCACATTGACCAGATGTTCTGCACGGTCTGTCCCCATTACGAAGTTGGCAGGTTTGACGTCGCGATGAACAAAATCGCGCGAGTGGATAAACTCTAGGCGCGATAGCTGGGTTGTTGGGAAGGTGTCAGCAATGCTAAGACAAAAAGGTGGGAAAAGGAAAGTCCGACACAGCTTGGCGTCACAAAAGACGCCCTTGGGCCACGACGTGTTGATGCAGGACGCGCAACAGTGGATAGGGTATACACCTCACCTGAGGCAATACTGCAAATAAGAAGACTCACCAATTGATCCGCAAGCTGAAGCACGGTCTTCATTGTGAAGTGACGATTGCACATCTTGAACAGGTCTTCGAGGGATGGACCCAACAAATCTATCACCATAACATTGTAATCGCCATGCTTTCCCGACCACATGATCCATGGCACCCCAGGACCACCCATGAGGGTCTTGTAGACCTTGGACTCCTGCTTGAGAGGACTGTTGCGTGCTATGGCTGGTTCTAATTTAATTGCAACTTCCTTCCCTGCCACTGTATGAACTCCAAGGAATACTGTGCCTATTTGAACATGATAGGAAGTCAGGGGGACTAGTGGCAGATGAACAGGGATTGAGAGTTACCGCATCCTCCAATGGCGATTTCCTCTTCAAGTCTGTACTTTCCACCTAATGTGAAATCCATGATAAATTCCTAGAAGAAAGATACTAAGCTCGACGACGTCAAGGATGGTGAGTAAGTTAGTTGGCACCTCGAGATGATAGTTGTCCTTAAGCTGGCCTATATTGATATGCTTGATGAATGTGACCAGAGAGACCCGCAAGTGGCGTATTCAATTGAAAGTTCAGTTTATGGATGCTTATGTCAGTCGGCATTTCGGCGATGACCTCCACAGTCCTCCCTGAATTGGAAATCACGAGACCGCGTCGCGACGCGTCACGCTCTGTGGGTCTTTTTCAGACTAAATCTGCAGAGTAACCTACGTGTGAGGGCAAGTACTACTGTGAGACAGAATATGGTCCTGCATGAATTATAGCAGTTACTGCCTTCCATGTGAGAAAGCGGTACTAATATTACGTGCACCTGATGCCGTGCGTATCTTCATATCAAGTATATTGTAGTGACACCATTTTAAAATTAATGGTGACATCTTAACTGACGCCACACCGCTCCTACAGGTTATAGCAAGGCTTTACTACAGCATTAAATATTGAATACCGACTCCAGCATGACGTACATACAGTGGGGATCCATCTATTATTCATCGGTCCTTTACTTCACTCAAATACATGCAACGACGGTAATTATAAGGTAAGCCACATCCCCAAAGCTTGCGGTACCCGATTCAATCGCATAGGCGTCTAATTTCATATGGCCTTGATAAAAGAGGGCATTATTGAGCTTCAAGCTTCAAGGACTATATCCTGTAATCTCGACAAGCAGCCATGAGGGCGCAGGACATATTACTTACATTCAAATTTGAGATATTCTGATATTCTTGACAGTCCAGTACAACTTGAAGTGGCAAAGAATGGCAGCTCACCGACGTCTGTTTGGCAGGAGCGAGTATTAATCTGTAACTTGGTCAAGCCTGTCGTCCACTTCAACCGTTACGCCAAATAGCAGTGATACTGAAAGCTTATGTTTCAGTAGTATTGCAGACAGTATTCGTGTAGACTATAGGGACTCTAGTAAGCCAGCGTGCTTACAATCTCGCAGTGGTGCGTGGACTTTGGGCCGTCCTCTCGGCATACGATACCGCTTCCTTGTAAGCACAGTCAATATATTTTACATGCGTATCCTTGAATACAGGACGGACTGCCGGGTGCGCTACGCGCGTACGCACCCAATGTGATTTGGCATCGTGGTTGGTTGTTGAGAGGGAGAAGGAACCCGTACAACAGACTCGAACTAGGTTATGGGACAGGTGTTTAGGGCTGTATTTTTGAAGCTCGTAGATTTTGAATGCAGCCTCGTCTTCAACAAGTCTCCACAGCCAACGAACTTGGATTTTCGACGGAGAATGGTGCGGCATCGCCGCGGAATTAGCTCTTGCTCTCAGCCTTGTCACGGAATTGGCTGAAACGGTACTTACATGTATGTGCTGATCCCCTCCACTCCAAACTATAGACATGTCAGTAATTGTTGGATTTAGATTATTTAGATTTCCTTATCGAGTTTCGACTCGGAACGAGCCGATTGTGGCTTAAATTTATTTTGCCGTGATTACATACAGTAGCGATATTTTTGTATACCTTGCGCGTTTGCAACAAATTCACCGTGCTACCTGCTGCCGAAAATTCTATAGTAATTTCATACTGGCGGCGATAGCACTATATAATCCTCCCTGGTAATGAAAATCCGAGCAGCAATGTGCTGATTGCGACAATCAACACACCTTTAAAGATCTCATTCTTCTCTGCCACATGCGCAGCCCATACAATATGAGTAACTGAGTGGATATGTATGAGCATGCCACGGCAAACCTGGCACGGACGGCATCCTTAGCATCAGCTAAACGGAGACTGCGCTACGATGGATGGAGATGGTTGTGATTGCAAGTCAAGGAGGAAACTGAGACTCGTAGGCACTTGAACAAAATGTTCACAAACTTGGCCGTGGGTACAAAGCCAATTCTAATCTGGTTGAAAAGATAATTCGCAGGGCTAGTGAAGTGAAGAAAGTGGGACTATCTTAGCGCTTTAGCTTTCGATGTAACCACTGATGTACAAGCTAGACATTCTGAAGACAAAGACCTTGGCGCCGAATACCACAGCGCGTGGTATTCGGCACCAACATCATTGTTTTTTGATATGAGCACTCGGACGTACATCACTTTGAACATACTAGTATGTTGATATCAATGAACGCTAGTGCTCACCTGCACACGAAGGAGACGATTTGAATTGATGGCATACGCTTGAGGCTTGAAGACTCCAAGTGCAAGTGAAGCGCGAGAGCAAAGTAGGCTCTCAACTTGCGATGTACCCATAAAACCTCAAAATATCATTTCAAGCACAGGCCTTGCGCGTCAATTTTTGATGAGCCAACTCGCTACAAGTCCAATGACAACAACTCAAGAATCAGGCAAGAATATGTCTGTTGGTCATGAACACGATTACGAGGTACATAAAGGTACATAAAAATACCTGTAGGTAGAGGAGCGGCCACGAGCATCAAAACAACGAAGAATGAAGATATTCGCTGACAATGCATGCATGACGTTCTATGAGTTTGATGTAAATCGACCAGTAAACTGATCTATGTATTCCTTCTGATCAAGTGTCACCAAAGCGACGTCGTTGGTGCAGAGCATGCACGGGTATAGCACTCAGTTGCAATACTGAGACCTGAGACGCTAGTACTTATATCAAATTGGTAACGGGTGGTGCTTCTCGCGGAAGAAAAATCATGGTTATAGCATGAAAATGACAGGGCACGTATCTTTTGAATAACCTGGGCCAAAGTCCTTCCGTTTAATTGAAAATTGCGAACAGAGTTACATGAATGGGTTTACGTGGAATGAGCAGAATGGGTCATGCAAGGCGTATTGTATTGGCTACTTCTCGAATTGCTCCCTTACAAACTGCTTGATAAGAGTCGTGATTTCCCTTTTCACGGAGAGAGGCACGCTTGCTAGGGAATGATGGAAGGGGTCAGTGACATTGGTAAATGATCGAGCGGAGATTAGCACTTTGCGCATGTGATAACAATTCCTGCAGGATCGTCTGAAGGGAAAGTGGGTCCATAGTTCTACTGTTCTCTATTGGATGCGGGGATTAGACATCAAACAATGACAGGACGGGCATACATACCTTTGGCACGGTGCAGAAGGTCATCTGTCCATCCACTTTCGGAGAGCTTAGAGGACAGAAGATGTAATATTCTAGGTTGCGAAATGTTTTCTCAGTAGCTATGAGAAAATATCAAACAAACACCCACCGATCCCACTCTCCATTCTCGATCATTCGACGGTGAACTTCTACATAAAGTGTTTCAACTTCCGAAGTCAATTTGGACATGACAGTTCCTCAAAGCCTGATATTTGGGTAAAGAACGGTATCCACCATGAGCACCAAACCCAAGTGAAGGTGTTTAACCGTCACTAGAGAATCTCGGGGCTCGCTTGACGATGCAAAGTTCTTGGCTACGATTGGAGGGATGCGATGTCAATCTTAAGAAAACGAGTCAAGAGTCACGTGTGAGAACGCGTAAAGTCACGACGTGTTGACGAACATTGTTCTTGTTGTGTTCTTGCAAAATTTCAAGCCAACGTCTCAACATGTGACTGTAGTAATTACTCCAGAACGTTGTTTCTCACTATGTGAGTCTACGCCCTCAGGCTGGGACCGCAAAATAACATTTCTTAGACTTCACTTCATGCAATACTTTGATCTGGATCAATAGAGCCCAATGACAGTTGAACAAACTGGCCAGCACTTCGCTGAACCTGTTTACAGTGTCAATCTTGTCAAGTGTTCTTGATGTCCACCGTATATGTTTTGAATATAAAGGCCATTCAAGGCTTTCCCTTGAAAGATAACTTTGGAAATTTTCACCGGATCAAGAACACCGTGGAATTCATGAAAACGTGGTCACATTGCACTATAGTAGCCTGCGAGGGACCGAATTCAGCAGTGCCTTTCATTCTGATGCGACTCCGATGCATCAGACCAGACATCAAGGAAAAAACTAGTATTCACTGTTCAGCACATGTACTGGTGAGTGCTGACTCGGAGATACAACGGCGAAGTATGAATAGCAATCGCGACAACTTCACCTTGACTGAGACGAAGATAACCGTGACCGACCAACGGATGGTCAGTCTGAGTCCATATGATGTTTATTCATTCGCATTGTGACTAAACAAGACTTCAGTATCTGTCATTTTATTTTAAAAAGACAATTCGTCGAATTCTTCCTTGACACCCTCCTCATGTTCTCCGTCATTCAGACTGGACTCCAAATCATATCCGCACCCATCATCGCTATCCTCCCCTTCCTCATCAAACTCTTCAAACCCCTCGCCTTCGCCATCATTTTCATCGTGCGCATCCTCGTCATTCACAACATCCATGGCATCAGACCGTATCGCTGACTGAGAGCCAAAGCAGTCCCTGGCTACTCTGTGCAAAGCGATGGGATGGCCGACACCCAGGTGCGTATATCGCATGAACATGTCTCAATCGATGAATCTGGCTTGAAGTTAGGTGTTTTTTTATGAACTCTTGAATATTTACACTTACATTCCAACATAGTACTCCTCCCAGTCGTCTAGCTGTCCCCCAGGGTGCGCCAATGATTCTCCTTGCCGAAGCGAGCTTACGCCACGTCCAGAGGCAAATGCGGGAAGCAGGTGAGCTCCTCATATTACTTGCCCTGGGTCAAGGAATCCAAACGCATCCGGATCGGACTCCTCCACAAAAGCAATCTTTGGAAGACGGGCATGCTTAGTGCCAGATCGATGGCCCTGAAGCACTGCCAGCCATCGGACCCACAAAACTTCAAGGCGCTGCTTCGAAGGCTTGCTCCCACCATTGCCAGTGAGCCATACCTCCATGTGATAAATACCCAACACCCTCGCATACCAGTATGGGTGGCTGGGTGTCGACTCGCCTGAGAGTACTACAACATCGCCATGAGTTTGGGGGTTAATGCTGTCATATTCGTGCCTTAAGTCATAAGTAGTGTAGCATATTTGCATGGTCTGAACTAAATAGATGGTGTTATTGGGAATGATCACCATGTTTCATTCCTCATCCGTAAAGGTGTGGTCACAGTAACTGATGTCCAACCCCTGAAGCCTATAAAGAATGTGGTCCCTCAGTTTAAGGATGAAATTCTGACTGCCTCTGGTTAGTAAAAAGTATGACTCAGGTCCATAAGCTTTGCACCTACCTTGATAGCAGGATCGCCCTCATTTTCTTGGAGAAAAGTGAATAGACGGACTGGGTTGTTTTGAGAATTTGATATATGGTGATGTATTTTCAATGAAGGGGGGGTGTCCGCATGCGATTGGTTACTAGCGGAGGGTACACTTCCTCCTGCCTCTGCTACACGCCGTAGTACATGTCTCCTGTGTTCATGTTTTGCTAATTGTCCTGGCATGTCTAATTTATTGGTCAGCAGGTAGAAAGCCTTAAGGGCTCTGTGGGCA